TTGAACTGTGATGTCTCACATTGGTTGAGAATGAGAACAAACTATCATTTATAAGGGTGTGAAAATCTTTCCCTAACAGACGCATTTTAAAGCTTTGAGGGAAAGTACGAAAGGGAATGCCAAAAGAGGACAATATTTGGTAGTGGTGGATTTAGGTCGTTACAATGGTATAAGAGCCAGACACCGGACGATGTGTCAGCCTTCTCAATGTTTCCTGAAAGGGGATAGACATGAGGCAGTGTGTCAGTAAGGACACTGGGCCTCGAAGGGGGGTGGATTGTGATGTCTCACATTAGTTGGGGGAAGAGAACAAACCACCATATATAAGGGGTAGAAACCTTCACCTATCAAACACGTTTTAAAGCCTTCAAGCGGTGTGTCAGTAAGGACGTTGAGCCGTTATACAAACTTCGTAGATAATATTGACTTACGATTGAGTCTCGAATAGTTTGAGAAAAACGTTATTGTTAAAAAAAGTATTATAAATTAAAAGCAAAGCCAACCACGCCACAACTTTAATAGTATATAAAAGAGAAAAGAATTAGACGGGACATAGAAACAACGATGGTGGGGTCCATTGGAGAGACTCTTAGTTCTGATTGGAAGTGAAAAAGGCGATGAAAAAATGAACGGCCATTAGTAAGCTGAGGTTCGTAAATTGACGACGACAACGTGCCAGAATTTAATAATAATTAATAATTTTCTGTCACTTTGTTCCATATTTGGCAAGAATAAAATAAAATTGAAATCAATTTTATAACCTCTCGGGTGGCTGACAATTATTATTTTTCTTCTGATTTTGGAATATTATATATTAAGAAAGAGAGAGGAAAAATAGAAAATTAAATACATGGCTCACACTTCACTATTTAATTTAATTTTAAAATTTAAACATTATCGATCATAGTATTTTAATTTTCATTTATTTTGCTACATTTAATTTCGAAATGTTATTTTTTTGTCATAAATACAAAAATAAAATAATATCTAAACCTAATTTTAATGCATTTTTCTATCTATTTTATTTTGGTATTTTTAACTATTGATTATTTTAATTCTTAAATAATTAAATATTTTTGTGTAAAATTTATTACAAAAAGAAAATATATCGAGGTATTCTTTTTTGTAAAATAAATACCATAAAATTCCAGCCGCCGATATCATTGACGAGGTACGGAGGACACACTTCGCCGTCATCATTAACAAACAAAATATGAAATTACAATAATACCCCTATATTGGCATTTTTTGACATTTTCTAATGGATTCACGATTCACCGTTGAATCAAGCCGTGGAGTCCACCCATGACCGCAACCTTTCCTCTGGACTTGGCCATGTGGGCCACCGAAAAGCAACATCCAGTCACTCATGGGCGAGAGTGGTAGAAATGTAAATATAGAAAGCATGAGGCCTTTTTAGCAATGGAAAGTGAAATCCAACTGTCGTTGGAAAGATTGGGGATGTAGTTGTCTTGGCCACGTGACTGATTTAACAAGGGTCGTTAAAAATCTGACACGTAACCAATCAACAGTAATCTTAGATTCCGACTCCCGTGACGTGTTCTTCTTAGTGGGTCCCATATTCTCGAAATAGATTTTTTTCCATGTTCTTTAGATTAAAATAAATGGTGCGGTTGCTTTGAACCAAATAGTCGGGGTGGACACCCAAATAAAAACCTGGTGGTCCGGTACGCGGTTTTCTTAGTGTCATGTGATATTGCTAACGTCTCTTCCCCAATTGTCTTATAAAAATCTCCCGCTGCCGCCATAGGTCAGACCTCAAGGAACTACACACGGCGTCCATACTTCCAGAACAATGCTTCTGAGAAGTGCTTCGACTCCCCTTCTCAATTCATGGTTACACCATTCCAGAGATTCATCTGTAGAGACCGGGATTGTGCACCACATCCCAAAATCGAGTTCCATTGTCCTCTCTGGCTCGCCTAGTTGCTTATCTCCGATAATTGACGATTCTCCCCGGAGGATTACTCGGGCGCTTTCCGAGACAGATCTTCGGGACCTGTCCGTGTCTAGGACGAAACCCTTTAGCAGAACTCTGAGTGGGTTTTCTGAGTTGGCCGAAGAGACAGATGCAGTACGGTTTAACCCCTCCGAAATCACGTCTTTGAGCTGTGGGTCGATTTCGGAAACGGGAGATGCGGATGGTAGGTTTGTTAATGTTCTGGTTGGAGGTGGAGTTGGTGGTAGTGGTGGATGTATCCATGGCGGCGGCGGATCCGACGGTGGCGATGATGGGAGTTTTGGGTTTGGGGATTCGAATCATGGGAATGAGAGTACGGATCTGTACTATCAGAAAATGATCGAGGCAAATCCTGGGAATTCAATGCTTTTGAGCAATTATGCTCGCTTCTTGAAAGAGGTAAATATATGATCGAAGAATAAATGTTGTTCAATTTCAAACATTCGTACTATTTTTTTTGTATTTATGATTACTTGTTTCGGGTATTAGGTTCGTGGGGATCTTGTGAAAGCTCAAGAGTATTGTGGGAGAGCAATTTTGAGCAATCCGGGTGATGGTAATGTATTGTCCATGTACGCTGACTTGATATGGGAAACTCAAAAGGACTCTCCAAGAGCCGAGAGTTATCATAATCAGGCTGTTAAAGCTGCCCCTGAAGACTGGTAAGCTTTTGGATTTGATGATGAGATTCTTACTGTGGTTGTTTAATGGCATATTCATTGATTGCTTTTATGGTAGCAGTTATGTTCTAGCATCTTACGCACGCTTCCTTTGGGATGCTGAAGAAGAGGAAGAAGAGGAAGAAGAGGAAGAAGAAGAAGAGAGTCTTAGAGAAGAACCAGCAACGAGGTTCTTCCAAGGAGTTCACCCTCCGCCGCCTATTGCTGCTGCTTCTTAGTTATTTCTTAGACTTCTTTTGGCTTCATTTCTTTTGTGCTATAGCTTCGAAGATAACAGCTCTAGACCCTGTTTATATTCCCTTCTTGGCCTTAGTATTGGAATCATCAATAGATATTGAGTTTCCCCCTACGGAGTGAAAGTTGTAGAAAGGAAATAAGATATATGTTAGCTTAATACTTTGCGAGTACTCTATTATCTGTTGTTACCGTGCTGAAGCTACTACAAATGATTTCTAGTGCTGCATTTGTTGATCCCGAGGGAAACGAGTGTCAGCGTTCTTGCTGGCACACTACCCTGTGTCCACCCTTTTGGGGTTCAACGTCCTCTCTGACATATCACCTCCTTTTCCTCACAAGCTTCCCCTCGAAGTTTTAAAAATGTGTCTGCTAGAGAGAGGTTTCCACACTCTTGTAAAGAATGCTTCGTTCTCTTCTCCAATCAATGTGGCCACACCCTTATAAATAATGTTTCGTTCCCCTCTCCAACCGATGTGTCCACACCCTTATAAAGAAAGATTTGTTCCCTTCTCCAACCGATGTTGCCACACATTTATAAAGAATGCTTCGTCCTTTTTTCCAACTGGGGTGGGATTTCCTAGTTACTTTCTTTGTCAGTTTCTTCTTCATGTCTTCCTATTAGGTTTGCTTTTTTCAACAGTCGAACATGGTGGATGGTGGTGGTGGTTCGAATGTTTGACCTTTTATCTTGTCTGCTTGCTGTTGAAGATCGTCCAAGTATCCCCTATCCAGACAATTTGGATAAGACAACGATTTATTAGCTTGTAGTACCACTATGGCGAACTGCTGTTAACAGGGTACTAAGTAATTTATGGAGTTTGGTTCAACTTCAAAGGATCCAAAACCAGCCTAGAACAGAGCCAACGACCAACCCAACGCCCAGGAACACAACCATGACAGTGGCAGATAACTCTGCCTCAGTACTGATCATGATGGCACTTGCCAGTTCGGTTTTCAGCCACCTTGGTTGTAGTTGATCTCTCATACTAGCTTTTTCACCTTCCATTTTCATGTTCAAGCGTTTTTCTGGGTTGTGCTGTTATTGGGAATTTGAAATTATTCAAAGCTTAGGCTAAGCAGCACTGCCACTGAGGTTGCCAAGATTGGTGGCTGTAATTTGTAGACTGTTTGAGCTTTTTGAATGTTTATCACCATTAAAAACACCTTCCCCCAGTCACCACCATGGGAGGGACTCTTCTTTGAAGCTCTTTACTGAAACGACTGGCAGCTCAGTTTGTTTGGATCGCAGATGATTGATGGGATGAACTTGGAACCAATATGACTCATGAAAGTAGAGCTTTGTGGGGGAATATCGCAGCTTTCGTGATGTATATTTTCTTTATTGTATTTTGTAGAGGATGATGTTTCAGTAAAATCATGTCTAGGTTTGAAAAATTAGAAATGTCTCAAAATACACTGTAAGAAGATGCGACAAGTCGTCAATTCTTCTTATACAGAGTTATATATTATCTAAGCCGTTGTGTTGTTTTTTTTGCTTATAGTACATTGCTTTCTTCATTTATTTCAAATCTTGCTTTCAAACTCTTTTTCTAAGTCTGTTGTCGTTTTCTAAAACCTTCTTCTTAAAGCAGGGTCTGAGGTTTGGGTATAAGTCGTCAGACTGAATGTGACATGATTTTGAGTTGGCTGACTCACTCGAGAGAGAATGCTGCACAATCACTTACAAACGTCCTTTAAGAGTACGATTATGACACTCGTGTTGACAGGTTCAATTACACATTACACACTTAATTTGATTTCATACGATTTAAATAGTTCAGGTTTCATATTTGTTTATACAAACTACAACAACATGATATCAAGATGATTCGTTAAAAATCAAAGGAAAATAGAAACTTTGTACCTAGTTAGAAGATGGGCGAGATATTTAGTCACGTGTGCATCCAATCTAATATGATTCTTACTTCAATTCCTTTAAAGCGAGTAGCTCTTCTAAATACGATATCGTGTGACGACGCTTCAGAGAAAGCGGTGTTTTCGTGTAAGATGGCTATAGTTTTAACGCTCTCATGTCAATCTAAACACAATTAAGAAAGTAATTGAACGACATACGATTATTTACTTTGACATTTTACGACAAGTCGTTTGAAGAAGTAATAAAAGGAAGGTTGACATGATTGCGGCTTATGGGCTCGCAGTCGTCGCCACTAAGTCCAGTTGACATATTTCCAAAGAGTAAAAAGGAGCGAAAAACAGTCGACGGTGCTCTTACTACCAGTCGCCGACGCTGAAGCCGGACCGCGTGTGTTGGAGGAAACATGGAGAGGGCTGAGGGAGGAACGTCGTCGACACCATACGGCGGTGGAGGAGTTGGAGGGAAAGTTCGTAAGCCAAACACAAGAAAGCCGCCGCCTTCTCCTTACGCTCGGCCAGTGCATAACCAATCGCAGAGGCGTTGGCTTTCGAAGCTCGTTGATCCGGCCTACCGGCTCATTACCGGCGGCGCCACCCGATTGCTTCCATATTTGTTCCCGAAACCACTGCCCTCTAATGCCCTTCCATCTCCTGGAGACGAAGATCAAGGTCATTTGCGCCCTCCCCAAATCTTCTCTACTGCTTGGGTTTTGGACATCGCATTATCTTGGTTGAAATCATTATCCTTTTTATACTCTCTATTTTAATTTTAGGCATTTTAGGAAATTGATGGCTTTTATGTTCCTAGTTAACTGACTGGTGAGGTTTCTAATTTTTTCCCCTTCGTTAGCATCTTTCTGCATTTGCAACGTAAAATTTCTAATTGTTACCATGCTGTTTGCATATATCTAGTAGACATTGTTTACATCAGACTCCAGAGATGTTATTATTGGTTTGTTTTGTACATTCTCTAGTAAGATTAGTTGTTGATGTTAATTCTTTTTGAGCAGATAAAGTGGAGGTAGAGGTGGAGGATAACGTCTCTGGAGAAGAACCCCAAAATGTAAATGTAGCTCTTTTTTGTTATTTTGTTACATTTTTGCTGTGATGCCGTCTTATGAATGAGTATCAGGGTATTGTTTTGATAACAGACAAATGAACAGTCAATATCCAAAAATGCTTACTGGGGTTTTATCAAAATGAGATAGAAGTCAATCGAAATAAAAGACATAGGGCAAGGGTTAACCACTCTTAACAGTCACTTTTTGCTGGTGACCGTACTTTGATTGGTTTGTAGCTTAGAAGTTTATTACTGTTTTGGCCTTGTGAGTGCGCTCATGCTTGTCTTCCAGCTGAAGTTATTGATCTTCCATTAAACTTTGATGTTCAGTCAGATGTTGTTGATATTTGTTTTCTGCAAGAAATCTGACTCTTTACTAGTTTAAATTTTATTTACCAGGTGTAGTTTTTTTCTCTTGTTTCACTTTTCTGTACAGCAATATTCTTATCCTGGTCCTTATGGCTTGGAGTTACAAAATCACATTGCTTGTCCAAACTTTTTGGTTAACACCCACGGAATGATTTCCTATGTCCTGTTTTTGTTTTTATTTCATTCTATTTTACACTTTTACTTTTAATTTGAAAAATTATATGCATGCAATAATGTGATTCATCAACATACAGCCTGGTTCATTTCTTGCAGAAAGGGGTTTCTACCTTAGTTGGATTACCTGGTTCTAGTGGAGAGGCAAATAGATCAGAGAACGATTCTGATTTTAATGGCTGCCAAAAGGACAAAGAAAATAATGCATTAGGCGGGAATGGAAAAATTGATGTTGAAAAATGGATACAAGGAAAAACATTTTCGAGGTAACTTGCAGAGTTTGACTATTTTGTTTGTTCTATCAACGAAGTGGTGTGTCATTTACTGTCTAAGAAACATGGACACGGACACAATCCAACATGATATTGATGTAGATATGATGACTCATTTACTAACAAATTTAGACAGAGACATGATGAGGACTTGTTTGGTAAAATATCCATTTTCTGATTATATTTGAACAGATCTCAATAATTTTCAGACAGAAAGTGTATTTTAATTTTACAATATTGGTGTTTGGAAGAAATTGAAGAAGCCAATCCCAACACATGCTTGACTAGTATCTGAGTTGTCCACAACACGTGAAACCAAAACATGATCCCTAAACTATATAGTGTGTTCATCTTCAACTTTGTCATCACAGACTTCAGTTGAAGTGTTTCGTCTCGTTGAAATGCAACTGGACGAAACATTATTGTGAAGCAACTTATTTTATTCATAATTCCATGGTGGTAGTACTTTCCTCTGCTATGAATAAATAGGTTATTTGCATCCAAGGGATAGTCAAATGTCCATATATAGCAGTGTCAGTAGTCTCGATAATTTCATTTGTAACCATATTTAACAGCATTGCCTCTGTGTCTAAACTGGTAATGGTGCAATGCCTTATGTCCAAGGGTAGTCAAGCGTCCAATATTGGTGTTCTACCATATGCTGGTAGTGGCGCAATGTCTGTAGTCTCTTTTGATCCTCTTAAACATTTTCCACGGCCACATAGCCAGTTTGAGTACTGGATTTCTCTAAATTGGTTGATATACTATGCAGGGATGAAGTGAGTCGTTTATTAGTGGTACTACAATCAAGGGCTCTTGAACCTTCTAATAAAGTGGAAGACAATACATTTTCTCCACAGAGCATTGAAAAACAAGTTGAGCAGCTATCTACTGCAAATAGAGTTCTTGAAATGCCTCGTGAAGGAAAGCAAGAAGAATTGGAGAGAGCTACGTGGGGAAACTTAACTCCTCATCCACATTCATTGGTCAGTAGGGTGAATCCTTGAGTAGTTTCTATAGAAAGTAAATATTTCCTGGCTGTTATGAACTCAGAACTTCTTTTACACATTAGTGCGGACTGTAGGATTATTTCTGCCATTTTCACGATAGCTTATGTTCCTTTTATAGGTTTTATTAGGCCATGCTAGTATTTAGCGATTGTGTGTAATGCTGTTCCATAGACAGTGTTCTTTTTCTACATATATGTCTATACACACGCACACAAATTTGAAGATCAAAAAATCATCCTAGGTAACTTATTTCTGTACTCATTAATAGTATAATGTATTAAACATCAAGGAGACCGGTTCCAGTATTGGGATGGTCAAAAACTAGATCAAATTGAATGCCTTATTCATTGCTACACGATTACTATGTTTTTCATATTTATAGTTATATTCAAGTTATTGTTTTAGGACTCTTCTTATTACTAAGTAATTAAATTATGTAGAAGATATCTGAAAAATCAAATTGTAAAACTAGTGCTGATGAGACATTCATTAATCAAATCAGTAAAATGAATTATCTCTGTTAGAAATATGGTAAATTTGGTTAATGTTGGAAAATCAATAGGAAATTAAGATGTTAAAAGCTCTAGGATTGGGATTTGTACAAGAATCTACAAATTTTCATTGCCAAAGTTTTCAATTTTTGTTCACTGTTTAGAGCTTGCTATTCAAGTGTTTCTGCCTCTAATAATTCAGCATTGGGTGTACTTTAGCAGAAACTAAGAGAAGTTGGAGCATCACCTGTGGATATTGCAAGAGTATACATGAGCAACCAAAAATCTGAACCAGGCTTAGCTTCGGACAAGATGCCAGATGATGAAAAGGCTTTGCGTCATGGTGATCATCAAATGCCTAAGCCTTTTATTCCATCAATGTCCCCCAATCCTTCAACTTGTTGGCCTGGTGCCATGTCAGAAAGTCAACGTGGTTATGTAACTCCAAGAAGTCAAAGAGGTAGATTTGGTCTTCATAATTTCCCTCGGACTCCATATTCTAGGAGTATCTTTTCAATGTCCAAATCCAAGTCTAAGGTATATAGAAACGGTCTTCAATTCCATTTTTTTTGGGTTATGACCTAGTGTATGTAACCAGACCATATGATTAACCATTCCTTTACATGTTAACAGCTAACTCAGTTGCAAGGAGATGACCAAAAGTTTGTGAATACACCATCACCTCTCTGGCGGAGGTCACGATCTCCAGCTTATTCCATGGTAATTTCTTTTATCATTAAGCGCTCAATGACTAAAAGCCAATAATAGGACCACAGGAACTCTTGTTGAGAAGTTCTTTTGTAGCATGTATATTGAGCTTCTGTACAGAACAAATTTGCGTCCATAATGAGTAGCCATTTTAAGGTAGTATAAAAGCTGATCATTTTAACGAGACGAATAAAAGCTGAAATATTATGGAGAACTGTAGTATACTTTTTGTGCATGTTTATTACAGGGTAGAGCTAGAAACTTCTGTAGGGGGAGGGCAAAATTTTACACTTTAACTTCCAAAATACGCTATTTTAATTTTGAAAATTCCAAAGGCAAGTTATAGGAAAAACTATTAACTTAAAAAACTTAGTGGTTTTATGTATGTATGGCTCCCGTATTGAGCATGTCATTTATGTGTTATTGACCCTTCAACCTTTACTTTGACCGAAATATTCAGTTATCCTTGATCTTTTGTTTATTTCATCCGCTTTCTGGTAGGATGTACATTGAGCTTGCGGTTTATCCATTACCTTGGTGCCTCTATGAAAATGTGGCTATGGTTGTTGCTGTTGTGCTGCCTTGTCAAGCCCAATTATAATTCTTTTGCCATAACCCTGATATAAACAAGTTAGATTTATGATTTTTCATCCAAACTAGAACTTAACGGATTAGCTGCAAGAGTTTCCTTATCTATGGTGCCTATAGGTGGTTGCTTAATTTTTAATTATTGAGAAACTCATTCCAGGACGAGCTTTTAGTTCAGTTTGTAGTGTTTAAGTGTCTGATTGTACGTTAAGTTCTGAATGCAACTTTCGATATTGAATATTGCATTAATGCTTCCTGAGCATTATCCGCTGCTGGTTCTTATTAGCGGTTTGCATTTGTAGTGTGCCAAGCTCAAGTTCCTTCCGGTTACTTCTATCATTATTATTTTTTCTGCTTGTCTATATAGATGACTTCAAGCAAGGATCCATTGGATGAGGCAACTGGTTCCATTGGACTGACTTCTAGCCTTCAGCATAAGACATCTGCAGTTACTAATTCCAGACGATCTGCTTACTTTTATCCACCTCAACAACCAGAGATGGAAGTAGAGAACAATATTTCGGAAGCAATTTTCCCTGATATGAAGAAGAATCTAGAACGTGGAGGAGCAAGCACCATTCCTCTTTCACAATCAGTGGGAATCAACAACTCCGAGTCGAGTCTACCGACTCTCCGTCCACAGTCCAGTCAGGTTGCTAGGACAATCCTAGAGCATATTACTAGAAACCCACCTACTCCTAAAGAAAAGACTGAAGAGTTAAAGAGAGCAATTGACTGGAAGAAAACCCCATCTTCCAATGTACTATCGGTCAAGCCAAATGAAACCAGTAGTTTGGCCGTGGACATAGATTCTCACCAAAAAGCAAACCAAGTAGATCAGAACTGTCACCCCCAATTGAGCGATAAGGGGAAAACCATGTCCACGGTTCTTCCAAAGGAGGGTGCTGGCAGAAATCCTGATGCTGCAAACCAGAATCCTTACTGTCTGAAGTTTAGGCTTAGCAATGCTGAATCAAAACACAAGGATGATGCAGGCTTAAATATTGGTAGCTCCTCGCCTAAGGTATCACTGCAACTTTGTAATTGGTTTTAGTTATTTAAATGTATTACTGACCGACTTACAGATTCTTCTTGTGTATGTATTTTGAAAGCATATGCTTGAAGAGTTCTTAATTTCTTGTTGAATTTATGGGCAGGCTGTTCCCAAGATCTTTCGAGCTCTTGGATCCGAAGTGGGGACTCAAATCAAGCATTCCCCCTCTCTTGGAGGTAAACCTATTTTTCCATCCATTACGATCAACAAGCCCGAGTCAAAATGGGCATTTTCTTCCGACAGTGGTTCAGCATTTACTTTCCCTGTTTCGGGAGCATCCTCAGGAATGCTCTCAGAACCACCAACACCATCTATCTTTCCATCAACCAGCCTTGGGGGAGGTCAGCCTCTGTTATTTAAGCCTGAGACTCCAGTTCCTTCATACAGTTTTGATTCAAAGAAGACCAGCCCTAGCCTTGTTTTTTCATTCCCTTCAATAAACAGCGATACAATCGGCCCTGAAGCCTCAAATATTAAGTTTAGCTTTGGATCCGATGATCATACGAGACTTTCCTTCGGTTCTGTTGGGAAAGATGCAGTTTGTTGCTAACTGGTTAGACTTCTGAAGTATAGTTTTGAGTGGAATGACCCCAAGAATTGCCAAAACGGGGTTAGAAACTAGTGCCAAATACCCTAGTGTTTATAAACAAATAGGAAATTGCAAATTCAATCATAAACAGTAAACAGCCTCAGTGGCAGTTGATGGCTTTATGCATATGTTCCATTCCATTCATGACTCTTATCAGGGCAATGCTTTAGTTTCCTGTACATTAGTTTGGATTTGATCAAGCTGTCACATCATTAAGTAAGAACACGATTCCTCATTTAAGTTTGCTTGGTTTGATGTTTGAAGCAGGCAGAGTAGTTTCACCACATGTGAAGAGTTTGATGCAGATTCCCAAAGAATTCCAGAAAAATCTGGGAAAAGGGAATGGGATACCTACCTACATCCTAATTCTTCCTACGCATGAAAGAAAGAAGTAGATATCTGAATAGATGACAGGGTAGTAGGGAAGGGCATAGGACAAGAACAGGTCCACGTGGTCAGGCTCCAAATCACAAGTGGAGGAACAGGTTGTGGTAGCCAGAGAGAGGGACTCACATGTGTTGCTCTAAATTTTGCATGTAACGAGGAAGTCATTCCATCCTATCACAGGTAAAAGATGAGATAAACTCGAATGGTGGTGGGGCGGGCGGGCGGGGGAGGCCCCCCCCATCCCCCATTTTGAAGCATCATCAAAGTTGGGAATGTGGTAGAATGAGGAGGAAACAAAGACAACCCTTCAGCCTGATGAAGATTTGAAGAGAGAGATAGAAAGGTCCAAGAAGAAAAGTGAGTGGGTGAGTGCGGAAGGGGGGGGGGGGGTCTTGTGTCTGACTGTGTGGGGAAGAAGAAAGTCAGAGAGATTGAAATGAGATAGGAAGTGAAATGAATGCGTAGCAGACACGAGTGTGACGTTTCAGATTCTAAATGTCAGTAAAGTTTTTGTGAAGATGTGAGGGTGGTAGTGCCGGTGCTGCTGCTGCAGCGCCCAGTGGCAGCGGCCGTATGACTTCCACTCACCACCGCTACCTCTGCTCCTGCTCCTGCTCCTGCTCCTGCTCCACTCTATACTCCTTTTTCTCATGTCTTTTTCCAACTGAATGAATGAATTTATTATTATTGCTTCTTTACTTCTTTCTTTTGACAACTTGTAATCAATCTCTCCATCCCTAACATTCATTTCCAACCACTTGAAGATCCCCATGACATTCCATCATTTTTATTTCTCTCTCTCTCCTTATAATTTAATGTTTAATTAATTATATTTATTATTCATCCCACTCTTGTGCTTTAATTTTAGTACTAAAAAAATTTCATGAGACCAATTTCTTTGATTCTTGATTTTTTTTATATCTATTTTGAAAAATAGTCAAATTATTTTCTTTTTGTAAAAATAGCTAAATTCAAAAAAAGGGGTTTTTTTTTTTTTTTTTTAATTTAAAAAATGGACCAAAATACCCCATTTATAGAGATTTGAAAAACTTTAAAAGAAAAAAAAAATAGTAAAGTAAAGTTGTGTCCACGTCAACAAAAACCGATAACTTTTTGACAAAGTTATAGTCAAAAGATTAGATGTTCGAATTTCTCATCCCATGCATTATTAAACTCGAAAAGAAAAACTAATATCATAATTAAGTTTGATGTATTGGACCCGACACAAAAGAAAGCATATTAATTTAGAACATTTTGGTTCGGGAAACAATCATGTTTAGGCAGTCAATGGTTTGAATAAAATGAAATGATGCATTTGATTTTGGATCTGAAAAAGATTGATCTTTTATGGTAGCTTTAGTTAGTGGTTCTTTGTTTATTTTTTATTTTTTATTTTTTTCCTTTTGATTAATATCTGTTATGTAAAATTAAGAAATATTTGAAAAGGGGATTGAAATAGCATACGGTGGTCCTCATCTACTTTTGTTTTTGACAGTGGTGGTGCCTAATTATGGCCATAGCTGCTTCCTCTCTATGCTATCTCTGCTTCGACACTCCAAATCTTTTCTTAGATAACTTGCTTTTTGTGTCTCTAAAGGAAACACCTTTGCTTTCCCCCTCTTTTCCCTTTCCTTCTCTCTTTCCTTCCCCGTCCGGTAACCGTTCAACTCCACCGCTAACAAATATTATCCTCTTTAAACTTTTCCTTTCAAACTTCCCTTATAAAAAATGCTTCATTCCCCTTTCCAACTGACGTGAGAGTGCATGACATGCTTATCATAATCTATTAGCCTAAACGAGCGTGAGAGTCGTGTCGAATGATCGTCATGGATTAGTAGATAACCCCACAAAGCTATATGTGGAAGGAATTCCATCTCCCTTCATTCCCTTTATAATGTACTTTGATTTGGAACAACTGTGAAGGAAAGGAAAAGAATCTGATACTAGCAAACCACCAAGGAAGTACAAGAATCATACCCCTTATCATCGATCATCGACCAAGAATTCAGATGTTCAAGTTCCTCGACTAATCCTAAACTAAAAAGGGTTCGTTCATAAAATTACACTCCATAACATAAGGTTTAGATTAGAGGTTTAAGTGATGCCAAAAGCGTCATTTTCTTGTGACGATTCACTTCATATGAGGATATCAATAGAGATTGTGACAGTTTTCAAGTCAAATTTTGATAGCAATAGTGGAAAATAATGCAACAGCAACCCAAAGATGGATAGATATTATAGTTGTCACTTGAATTCAACAACAAATTCAAGTCATTGGGGTTTGTTTTCATGAAGTAAAAGAAGAAGAAAAAAGAAAAAAGCAGCAACTTCATTGATCAGTCCTTCATGCCATTCACATCAAACGCTTCAAACCCTGACCAAACAAACACCAAAACAATATCAAATCAAGATTCGTTCGAATCAAATTCGAGATCTTTGTCTATCTCGTGTATGAACTTTAAAACTTTTAAACGAACAAACATAAACTTATAATTTAATCTAGTTTTTCACGTTTACTTACATCATCTAGCTTCATTTGATTGCTGGTTTCCAACATCCGACCAAAAGGGAATACGAGGATAATGTGCCCACTGATCAAAATTGGAGATTTATAAGCAAATTTAAATTCATTTCATCCAAAATTTGTTTATTGTAAATTAAGCTTACGTTCTTGGCTGCAGTACTGAAAGCTTCCCTATGGCTAATCTCAGGATTATTAGCCTTAATCCTTTGGATTTCCTCTCTGAAACACAATTAAATCGCAATTAAGAACTGAAAATATAATGAATTTAGAAAAAATTTCAAAGTTGTGAAGGCTTTGGTTACTCACTTTATGAACTGATTATATGCAGATGGTACTCTCTGCTTCTTCTCGGGAGCTGAAAAAGGATAACAACAACTCATAAATTTTCATTTTTTTTTTAGAGATTTGCAAAGGAAAGTAAATGAAAGAACACTGACGTCGATTCACAACCCTCTCCTCTGCTGCCATTGTTGTGTTTGCTCGAATTTCCATCTTGTTGTTATTACATTTCGATGATGAAGAAGACGATCCAAAATCACCTTGAAAGTCAGGTCCGTTACAACTGTATAAGTTGTAATTTGGAACCTACAAATTTTCATATTCCAATTCAAGCATAGTACAACAAACATGTCAGAAAACTAAAAATCACCCCAGTATCATATTGTCCACTTTGAGCTTAAACTCCAATGGAGATGTAGTTTTTACTTATAACGCATGATCCTTCTCTAAATTAGCCAATGCGGGACTCTCTCCTAACCATCCAAGACTGTGAAATGATGTTTGATGAGTTCATAAAGCATATAACACCCAGATGACAGTTCAATATCCAAACAAATTCAAAAGGGGGTTTCAGATCTTGGCCATCTTTTCCTTTTTCTGTGAATGTTGGAACAGTAAATGACAAAAGAAACCTAGCTACCAATATAGGCTTCATACTAAAAAACTAAAAGAACCCTAAACCCAAAAGCACTTAAAACCTGAAAGAAGATGAAGAAGCTCAGTGGATAAAAGAGGAAAACAATGGGGGTTATGGCGGCTGAGTAGCTGTGGGAGGTAGCTAGGGTTTTGTGTGGTGTAAATAAAAATGAAAACTTTGAAGTGGGTTGTTTTAGTTTCAAGATTTTAGAATCTGGGTGACATCGAATTTCTCAAAAAGATGCAAAATTTGAAGCTTTTTCTTTTGAATTATAAGTTTAGGTTATTAGGGTTACCTGAACATCTTGCCAGGAAAGAGCCTGAAATGCAGCAGCCATATTCACGGACCACAGATTTGTGCAGTGCCCACATCGGACTGTCACAATATCAAACAAGCTACTGCATGGAACACTCACCTGCTCATCATCGTCATCGTCATCGTCATAATCATTCATAACCAAATTTACATGTAAAGCTTAAGTTGATAGAAATAGAAGGGTGTTTTTGTTTAGGGTTTTTTTAGATGGTTGCATGTTGTTTTGAAAATTGGAGTGAGATGTTCATTAGTGTTATCATCCCCCATTGAGCAAAGCAGGTGGGTTTTTTTTTTTCTTTTATGAGGTTTCAAAGAAAGAAAAGGCATTAATGAGTTGTGTTCATCATAAGTTTGAAACTCCAACCCAAAATTTCCCAAATTAATCTCTTCCCCTCACCCATTTCATCTAGAAAAACATTTGAATTGAGCATTTTCCATAAAGATCTAGAAAAAAAAAGATGAAAAGGAAGGGAATTTATGAGTACCGCAAGAACAATATTGCAAAAATTGCAAGGGATGTAGCAGAGCTGTTCGGGTGCAATATCGAGGCAGCTGGCCATGGGGTGATGGGTGGTGTTGTGTGAGGCAATGAATCAAACAGGAGTGTCCTTTTGGTGAAGAGGAGTAGGAAGAAGAAGAAGAAGAAGAAGAAGAAGAGTATGGAGAGAAAAAGGTGAAGAAAGTAAGAGAAGAAGCTCCAACAATAAATAGCTTTTATTCTCTCACTCACTGGATTCCCTCTTCTCTTCCTCATAATTGGATCATTCTATATCACGACACTCTAAAACTTTCACCTCCTTTTTCTACCCAATCTAACCTTTTATCTATATCTATATATATCTATCTATCTATATATATATATACCTTGCTTACTCAAAATTTGGGACCAAGAGGATGAATTCGGATGCAAAAGCTTAAGCTAATGTGTTCGGAAATGACATTTTTCGAAGTTTGAATATCGATACCTTTTGATTCGGGCGTGTTGTGTTGAGGATTGTTGAGTCCCACGTTGGCTAATAACGAGAATGATCATGGGTTTATAAGTAGACCATTGTAGTAACCAACAGCAAAGCCAACCAAGCTTATGCTTAGAGTGGATAATATTGTACTATTCAGAAGTCCGAGGTTCTTAACATGGTATCAAAGTCCATAGAATCTTCAAAACCTATTTTTAACATGTTATCAAAATCATGCCCTCGTAAAGTCAAAAGAATTTTCAAAATCTGTTTTTAACAGAATATCAAAGTCATGCTCTCTTATCTCAGTAAAATCAACCGAATCTTAAAAATATGTTCTTAACCTGCTATCTAACTTAGTAAAGACATATTTGAACCTTCAAACGTTCGACCTCGTAGTATAAGGTAGTTTTAGTTATTTCGAAATTGACTATTTATTTCTGTGTCAGAGGTGTTCTAGAAATGTTTATACAGTCGAGCTATCTAGTTGCTCCCTCATCAAAACTAGGAGAAAATTGAGCGGAAAGATCTTGATTCACGAGGAAGTTTATTATTTTTATTGAAACCCGATTTTGCCCTTTGAATAGGAATTTAATTTTTTCGTAAAGTTATATAACTTAACCATCACATTACTTTCTTGACATTTAAATCAAGAAATTAACAGCTTTTATTGTACGTAAGAATAATTGAAGCTTCAATTTCAATCCTTTTAATGCTTTCTACACTGTTTACTGTTTAATGTAACATTAAATTCATATCTAAACCTTATTTATGATTCATAATATTAATTGTCACTGCCACTGCCACACCTGTATTAACACATTGTAAAATTTAAGGTTTCTCAAGAACACATTAAATTAAACAAATTGGTTGTCCCACTTTTAATTTACTCCATGTTTTTCATTGAACGATTGATCGGTTAGTTCCCGATCGATATTCATACATACATATTTACTATTTCGATTATGTTTTCTTTTGTTTAGAACATAACGGGATTGACAATTTAATGTAAAAATTGCTTATTTTTTAAATGCTCTTATACGAAGGTTTGAGCGATAGTTTTGATAGCGAATACGGGCATTTTGAC